CGCCCCGTCTCCCTCCCTCTCTCTCCCTCGCCCCCCCCGAAATAAAGCTTTACGGGCATAAGACCCCCAGAGTAAGTCTCCTTCCCACCTTCTGAGTCACCCCAGTAATGCATTCAGTTTTCAATAGCTTTCTAGGGAATTTTCCTTACACATATTTATAAGTGTATACGGTTTATTATTTTATTGTTATTATTTTCAATTATAAGAATGCAACTTTATTGTACATATATTTATAATTTTATATGGAAATTATTCTTTAATTTCCATATAAAACATTTATACCCATGCTGACATTTCTGTATTTCTGTGTGTTTATCACCACTTCGGCGGCGTTTTCACGGGCTATGCGCTGTTCTCAGCACTTTATTTCGGGTGCAGCTTGTTCGATCTTCACAGCACCCTACTCAGTACATGCTCTCAGTGTTGTTATTTGAGAGATGACAAAGCTGAGACACAAACACGCTGAGCTCCCTGCCTCAGGTCACTCGTGAGTGACCGGCAAAGGCGGGATTTGAACCCAGAGACTGGCACCGTTGTCCGAGTCTGGACAAGTGACCGCCCGGCTCTGACGCAGAGATCTGGTTTCCTCGTTACCCCTTTGTAGAATTCCGCCACAGGGAAGTGCCCCGCTTTGCACCACATTGTAGTCGGGGCTGCGGGCAGCTGTGATCTCAGCTTTGCACAGTCGTCAGGCTGGGGCCCAGGACTCACTGGCGGGGTTCGGTCCCAACTGCCTCGCCCACAGCTGCATAACCTCCACTCCTCGGGCTCCTCCTCCGTGATAATTTTATTTCGCTGTTTCTTCCATAGTCATTCCTCCTTTTAAATGCCCTTTAGGACGTTCCCTGTGTGCTCCTAACTTCACGCTTCTGCCTTTTGCTGCAAACGTGCTTCTCCAGGCAGCTGTCCGGCTGCTATTACTTTGGTCGGTTCTATGGGGGTGAGCCTCCCTGTAATGAAATTCGCCTTGTCGACGTGCAGCTCAGCGAGTCCGGCCAAGCGGACAGTCAGCTGACCGC